TGTATCACTTTTAATTCATATTTTAGAAGTGCCTTTCTTGACAAGGAATTTTTCTACAATATTTTTGCCTTTTGTATCCAAAATGAAAAAGTGCATGTCTAATTAGTTGAAAGTGAAATTACACATAATGTTGTGTAAATAGAAATATTTTCCTGTAGCCTTTTTTTAAAGAAAAGATCAAATACCTCTGATTTTTCTCAAAAGCAGATTTTACTTAAATTCCTTCTCAATTATTTAAAAGTAGTTTTTTTATGAAACCATGTTTCTAGTTTAAAAAAATAAGATAATGAAAAGAACCATCATAATCTTTCCTTGTAAAAGGACAAAGGTATTGCATGTGTGTAATATGTGATATATATTCATACAAAAGTAATGGATCTACTTGTGTGGAGAGAAGAACTTCCTCATGTTGTAACGTGAAGCGTTCTAGAACAGTGATTTCCCTTCTGATATCTGAAGTGCCTTGAGATATAGTCTAAGGAGAGGAAGGATAAACATGCATGGTTACACATTTTTAAATTTTTTTTTAAATTTCAATTGGGTTTACAAATTTGCTGATCATTTTATCAAAAGCAGGAAACATGTCCCATAAAGATGGCATTAAATTAGGCTAGCTCATGGTATCATGGATTGCACTTCTCATTATATAAGGCAGGATAATGTAGACATACAACCATTTGGGGAGGGGTTTATGCAAAACCATGGGGCAGTTAATTGGACCTCGTGTTTTTAAAGGTGTCTGATGATTGTATGACATAGATCATTTGAAGAAAAATCATCCTCAGTGGGACTCAGTTTTAGAAGATTTCATCAAACATCAAAGGGATGCTTCGATTTAATTCTCACACTGTGATCTGTGACTTCAGAAATAACATGCTGGTAATGGCAATGTGTGACAACCCGAGTCCCAGAGCTGATCGTGGTCGTGGTCTCTGCATGCTTGTTTGCACCGTCAGACTTACCTCTAAAGTGCTGTGGTTTCAGAAGGGTAAATGATAGAGCATGTGGTATTAGAGAAAAGCTAAGCAAAGCTAATGAAAAAATGGAAGCTAAAACGACTACTGGAGTTTGTGTGAAGGATAGTATAAACCAAAGGGAACCTCTTTTGAGCAGATGATTCTAGCAGTCTTTAAGGATAGGTTTTTGAAGGTCTGCTCTATGTGAGGTCTCAATTAGATTGAGATTAAGTGAAAGAATTTTCAGTGGAAGTGAAACTTGACATTACATTAGGCTATAAAAGAGATGCAGATCAGGGGTATTTTAATCCTGTTTCTTTAGCTACGGTCAGGTCTCTAACCTGACATTTCTTGACACACTCCATTCCAAAGCTGGGTCAAATGCCTGTGAGCTGAACTCTGTTGTCATCCTACATTTAAGCTGCAATGACTGTACATCATGGCTGCAAAACTGGTCTTCTTAATTATCTCTTTTTCTGATCATTCTTATTCTGTAGGGATAGAGAATAAGACCGTAGCTTGCCTTGTTTGCCACTATTTGCCCAATACCTACCAAACACATATCTGTCACTTAATATTTTAAAATCAGAATCTGTTGATTAAATGAATGAATAATTGGACAAGTATTTATGTGCAGAATCTAAGTGACGTAGTAAAAAACTTTCTTCAGTGATCTGTGATTATCTTTATGAATTAGAGATCTTTTGCCCCTCAAATGACTTTATAATTATCACCTTCATGTGGGTAAATTGCTAAAATATATTCCTGATGAGGTTCTGAAACTTGGTAACATCGCTCTTAGATTTGACTTACTGCTGTAAAATATATAGCATGTATGTTTCAGAAACAAAATTTACATTTATTTATAATTTGGTGAGATCTCATGTTGAGTTATAGTGCTTTAAAATATGTATAGCTAAATGGCAACTTCTTGAGTCATCATTTAAATTGAGTGTAAATCATGTCTAATCTGCTTGTTAACCTGCCCCCCTCACCCCAATGCTTGAATAACAGAGATATCGTTTTTAAAAAAAGTCATTTTTCTGTGTTTTATTTTTGTTAGCCTTCTGCAGTGTATTTGATTTCAAATAATATCCACCTTTAAAATTCAAATAAATTTTTTTGATGCAAACATATCTTTTAAAAACACGGAAGAAACACCACTAAATGCTTTTCCAGAGTAGCAAAGGATAAGTCATGTCTTCAGTTCTTCCCTTTACTTCTTCGGTAGCATAAGGGGCTGTAGACAAGAAATGGGAAAAGCAAGAGGACTCTCAAAGTGGATGATTCTTAAGTTGTCTCTTAATTTTCAGTGTACTCTGATTTTGTTAGGATTGTCCCCTCTTTCCTGTTTGTACTTAGTTTATTCTGAAGAGGTGGCAGGGAGCCTACCTAGGTTCCCCTTCTCACTTTGACCTTTCCTATGCATGTGTAAGTATGAAGTCTTTTTCCCACACTCCCTTTTTGAACAGTAAGGAGTCACGTCTGGGAGCCCGCACCTGTGACCTTACATGATGATGCTGGGGATGAGGAAGCAGGGGGATGGATGCTGCCCCTGAGAAGCTGCTGGCTGGGAATCCAAAACAGCAGCAGCAGTAACAACAACAGCAAGAGCAGGCACAGGAACAAAAACAGCAACTTTACCAGCCTCCGGGTTAGAGAGAGGATTCTTCTCTTTCCCCACCTTTACAGCTGAACCCCTTGTCCTCTCCCTCTTGTCTAACATTTCAGTGATGTTTCTTCAAAAACTATGACAGGTTGACAGAATGGACCTCTACAAAACTAATTTAGCATTTTCTCACAGTGTGCTCTAAGTTGGATCAGAAAGACTACCTATGGCCTACCACATCCTATAGTTTATCTTTATTCAGTTGAATTAAGGTAGCAAGGCCTTCTGCAGGCCTTTCACAAAGCATTAGCAATCCAGTCCTCTGCCCTACCCTCCCTACCCCCACCTGACCCCTCTGAAACGAGCACACACAAATAGGCCATGCTCTTCCACGTTCTGGTGTCTTAGCTCAGGCTGTTCCTTGCAGCTGAATAATGCTACCATCCTTTCAGCCTGGTAAATTTCTACCAAACCTTTGACACCCTACAAAAAATACTACTTTCCGCCTCTGCACAGTCATAATGTAATCTGCTTTTTAAATTCTGCATTGCCATAGATTCATGTGAAACTTCAGTCAGAGCTCGTATTACACTGTATTGCCTGCAGTTTTTAAAATGTCAGCATCTCTTCTCCATAAGGCCCCTGCACTCGATACACCAGTATGAATAGGCCATCCAATAGAAATACTGTAGCCTTAAAGACATTACTGCTAAATAATGGAATAGATGTGTGTCTGTGTGTGTGTGTCTGTGTGTGTGTGTGCATGTCTCTGTGTGTGTGTGTGTCTCTGTGTGTGTGTGTGTGTGTGTGTGTGTGTGTGTGTGTGTGTCTCCATCCACAGGCCTGGATTTCATATAGTTTTGAGATGAAGACCTGTTAACATGAAGTTACGTAAAGTCTGGGGAGGATATAAGCATTAGCCATCTAGGAGAAAACCTTCCTGGTTTGTAGAACTTTACCAACCAACTCTACCACTCCCTGTTAATAATTTAACATAACCAGTGATAGAGAATAGTTTGAAGAATTATATAAGACGTGACTAATGTCACAGTCATTGTCAATATTTATTGCAATTTGTATTTGCTTGGCTTAATTCAAGATCATTGCCTTTATATCTAAGTTCATTTATTAGATTGATTATGCTAATTTGAAAAATTCTCCTTGCTGAGATTTTATAGTTTAAATTATTAAATTTCTATATCCAGAGATGTCCTTCCTTAGTGCTTTTGCAAGGAGGGTTTAGGAGCTCTAGTCTTCTTGGTAGAGAAAGCTTATAGCTACTGTGCAGTAGCACTGTCTGTGAGACTTGTGAAACTTCCACTGTTCATGGGTGGGGGGCAGTGGGATGTGGGCACTGATGAAGATTAAAAGAGGCTTGATGCTTTCTTTGTTCTTCCAGGACCGTGAGGAGGTAAGGGCCATATTAAAGTGGGAGGGATGGAAGCAAAGGAATGTGTAGGAGAGATGTTTCAAAGGAAGCATTCACAAGGCTGGAATAAGTCATCTATAGGCCTGGAGTGGATGGGTTAGGATGAGAAAAGAATAAAACAAAAATGAGCAAGTTGAGCATAGCAAACATTCAGAATTTGAGCAGTTACCTTGAGTGGGGCAGGGAAAGGTAAAGTCACTGAAGTCAACTTGAAGATTATGTCTTTTGCGGTGTATCTGTAAACACCCTTTAAGCCTTTATGAGAGATCAGTAGAGGCACGAAGTTTACGCCAAAAGCTTGACAACTGCTTTGTGGCTTTTCTTCATATTTCGACATCTTCTGCCCAATCCTTAAAACGTTTGGCTAACTAAGCAGAAACTGGACAAAAGTAAGCTTAAGACCTTGCCTCATCTCCTTGCTTTGTCTGCAAAGTAGTGTCATCTCAGGGAAAATAAAATACTGTATTATTTACAGCCTTAACCAGAAATGTATAAAGTAGCTTGTGTTTCAGTCTGAGGAGGATGGCTACCTTCTCCTGGCAAAATTTGAGGAGCTGGAAGGACTGGGCTAAAGGGTGGAATGAGGAAGATGAAGAGCTTTTCTCGCCTCTTGAACTAGGTGAATCTGGAGAGTGTGCTTTCCTTCCTCCAAGGTTTTTGAGATTTCAGAACATTATTAAACCTGCAAGTACTTTAAGAGTATTTGTGGCAAGCAGAAGTGCTCAAGTATGTATTTGAATAAATGTGTATTTTTGGTATCTCCTCAAAAAGTTCACTCCTCAGCCGTGTTTTGTATAGGGACGTGCCTTCCCATCTTGCTTTCTGAGTGGGAAATCAGGTGAGAACGGGCCACGCTGCACGTGGTTCTTCCATGCTCACCACGGCGCCATGCAATGGGTGGGTCTGTGCAGGACTTCTGTACTGCAGGGCACAACACAGCAAGATCCTGAGGCGTGCGTTTCACTGCAGTCACCGCCCATTCTAACCTAGCTTTCTTTTCTTGCAGGTGCACATATCTTGACCAACTCAGCAGCAAGGTGGATTTTCTTTGTGTTTAAAGAAAAAAACAATGTCCCTGTGTCTGTAGAGATGATTTGCAGTTCAGCCCGGCTGAAGCTGACCGAATGAGACTATGGGCTGTGCCTCCGCCAAGCATGTTGCCACTGTTCAAAATGAAGAGGAGGCCCAGAAAGGGAAAAACTACCAGAATGGAGATGTGTTTGGCGGTGAGTGCTACCAAACTTGACTTTTGACCCACTTGTTTCTAGGCCTCTCACTATTTCATTGACACATAATATTTGTACATATTTACAGGGTACTTGTGATGTTTTGTTACATGCCTAGAATGTGTCATGATCAAGTCAGAGTATTTACGATATCTGTCACCAGGAGCATTTATCGTTTCTAAGTGTTGAGAACATTTCAAAACCTCTCTTTGAGATGTTTGGAAATAGACAGTACATTATTTTTAACTATAGTCACCCTACGCTGTTCTGGAACATTAGATCTTATTCTTTCTAAGCCTTTCACTTTTGTGACAGTGAATAATTACAGCAATTATTGGGTTATACAGTCTGAGGTGAAGGGGTGATGAGACCCAGTGGAAATCAATGTGGATCTTTACATTGTATCATCTTCATCGTAATTTATACAAAGTGGTCTTTGAGGAGGAACATGGAGGTTTTTTTTGCGGGAGCTAGCATTTCAATCAAGCTTTAAAGAACCAGCAGAATTTAAATTGGTACGTGGGACAGTAGCCATGGGGTGTCCTGGTAGAGGAGAACTCTAGGACTAAAAACAGAAGTCCAAAAGTAGAGTGAGTAAGGATTTATAAACGAGGGAGTGAGTTGTTTTTTAAAAGTGTAATAGAGAATGAATTATACATGTTCATATTTAAAATAAAAATACAATGAATCCAATAATCATCTTTAACCTCTCCGTTGAATCAAAATGATGTTAGGATATCTAGTGCAAAGGCCACAAATTGACAACCCATGGCTCTATCTGGTCTGCAAATACATTTTTTGCAACACCCCCCCGCCAAATAATTTCAAAATAAAAAGCAAGGCAGCCTTTAAAAATCAGTATATTCCACATAAAACCTCAAATTTCTTCAAAAGAGCTGGCAACAGCAGGTCTTCAGTCCTTGAGGCAACAGTTGGGGGTCGGGTAGCCATTGCCTCTGCGGCCAGGTTGCATCCTCCAGTGAACTGCTGACGCTTCCCCGCTGCATGCACACCAAGTTCACTTCACTCATGGACATTACCTGGCCACTTACAGGCTTTCATGCCTGCCTGATCTTCAGTTTGGCCCTTAGATGATTATTGTGAAGCATGGATATATCAACAAAATTCCAATTAGTACAAGCAGATGAAGCAGTTTTTGCAGAATTACTTTAACAACAATACCTACTAATTGACATTCGCGTGATGCTTTTATTTATAAAAAACGCCTCTTCGGCTGGATGCGGTTGGTCACGCCTGTAATCCCAGCACTTTAGGAGGCTGACATGGGCGGATCACCTGAGGTTGACAGTTAAAGACCAGCCTAACCAACATGGAGAAACCCCATCTCTACTAAAAATACAAAATTAGCCAGGTGTGGTGGTGCATGCCTGTAATCCCAGCTATTCGGGAGACTGAAGCAGGAGAATCACTTGAACCCGGGAGGTGGAGGCTGCGGTGAGCCAATACTGTGCCACTGCACTCCAGCCTGGGCCACAAGAGTGAGACAACTCTGTCTCAAACAAACAAAAACAAACAAACAAATAAATAATACCTCTTCCACTCTTACTCAATAAGAGACATCATTGAGATATATTATAGCACTTCACTGAGATAATGTTTACATGTAAATAACTGTAGCGGCGTCATTCAGTCACTGTCACATAATTTTACCACTTTTAGAATCTTTAGCTTTTGGTCCATTGTAATGATTTTTTAAGTCTCCTGGTGACGAATTGGGAATGCTGCACAGAGCTAATGCTCTGTTAAAAGTGGTCTCCCTCATGTGTTTTGGAAGGAAGATTTTGTTTTGTTTTGTTTCAGGGAAATGTATTTGTTGCCTGGAACAAATTTGCTTCTACTGGTAACTACCTATAGCATTGAGAACTGTGAAGAAGAGTAACGTATATGAACATCTCAATAAAACTACAGTCTGGATCATTGAAACCACAGTTTTTAGGGAAAGATCTGATTGGAACTAGAGTCATTACTATCACCTTCAAACGCTTAACTTTTAAGAGAAAATAATCTAACATCAGGGGATTTGTTTAACTTCTATCTGATGTTCTGTGTCATTATAATTTTTATAATAGAGCTACCGTTTATGGAGCCGCCAACATACGTCAAACATTGTAAGGCATTTACATTCATTTTTATGTTGAATTTTTGCAACACTCTTTTGAAATAAGTGTAGATTTTACATCCTTGGAAGCTGAAGCACAGAGAGACTGACTTGTCCAAGGTTTCCCAGCTTCAAAGTGCTAGAATCCAGATCACTAAGACTCCAAAGTCCACCTTTCTTTCTCCATGTTGTTTCCTGATGCCCTGCAGCCTCCCATTGGTGTGCGTGCCTGCCTGCCTGCCTGCCTGCCTGCCTTCCT